CCCCAAAACCCCAAAACCCCAAAACCCCGAGAAGTGAAATCTTTGAAATTTTACAGTAATAAAAAAACACAACAAGAAATTTATAGAGATATATTCTTAAATAACTTTGCCTAATTCTGTTCATTACATATTAACATCAATTCCCATAGATTGCATCAGTACTTATTGCAAAATAGCTTCATCATCCATGTTGAAGTCAGTGTAGGTATCAAGATCATATTAATGCCTCATCTCAATGTGCTTACTTAGATTCTAAGATACATAATTAGGATCACCATATGCTTGAACTACGCAGATGGGGCAAATCCCTGACTTATTTCTGTGATATTTTTTCATATGAGCGAGTAACCCTTTTCTCTCTAAGTTCTTTTCACTGCATAAGGGGCAATTGAAGGTTTGTCTATTTACAGTCCTAGAAAATGAAATTAAATTTGTTTTATTAGTACTGCTTCACTTGAGATGGATCAATAAGAGTGCTCTTGATGGCTTGTTCAACTTCTCCTTTATAAGATTTGCATTCTTCTTGATGTGAGTTCAGCTTCCACAACTTTACACTCTTACCACATTTGCATCTAATTTAAAATTATCTCTAATTTATTATTACTTCAAGGCCTTCTTTTTAATTTCGGCCTATATTTATTCATCCAGAACAATATCTCCTTAATTCAACTATACTCTGCAGTTTGGACATCTAATTAAAAGTAAGCCAATTAATTTTTGTTGCAATTTCTTACAGTAAATTTCCTTTTTTGTTTTCTTTGGCAACCTAGTCAACTTTATTGATACAATTGAAGCAAAATATATGACCGCATGTTGATAATTTGACAGGGGATTCTGCTATCTGATAGCATATTGAACATTGATAAGCTTCTATCTCTGTGTCAGAAATTGTTACTTTATCTACCATTACAATTACTTTTAATTTTAAAAATTTTAAATAAAAATAGACTGATATGAGAAGGAAGAAAAAAAGCTCCGCGACCGGGAATTGAACCCGGGTCTCCCGCGTGACAGGCGGGGATACTTACCACTATACTATCGCGGATTTGCTCATACACCTGTATGTTATATCGCCATTTAAATGAATCTAACAAATCCAGAAACTTACTAATAGGTGAACACATGCCTAGTGACTTTATAAGAGAAATTTATTATGATAAAGTGAAATTTAAAGCTTAGCTTAAATAATGATAAAAATATAAAACTTTCATTTCTGCTATAAGATGCAATTTAAGTAACAAATATATTTTCTCAGTCTTGCTCTATATCAACAAGCTTAAAATGCACAGTCTCATTCTTCTTGCCTTCGTTCTCAGTGTAGAATATAAGAACTTTATTTCCAGCCATACAAAGTTCTTGCTCTTTGGCAACCTTAAGGACTAAATTGATAAGTTTATCACTAAATTTCTCTAAAAAATGGTTCAAAACTTTAGCTTATGCTTACTTAAATGAGTCGGTATTTTATAGCCAATAACTCCTCTGCTTAGATTTACTTGCTTTACTACAGCTGAACTAGTTGAGCAAGCTAGAATACTTTGAAAGGGTCTGTACTTGGCAACATACCTTGCGATTCTGCCAGTTTCTGTCAAGCATACGAATATCTCAACATTACTTTCTATTGCTATATTACATGCTGTGGTTGCAAGTAGATCGACTGTTGAAAGATTTTTTGAATTGTTGATTGAATCTTAACGAATATCCTAATAGACTTGATCATAATCATAAATATTTTCTGCCTCAGCGATGCATTTTGCTAATTAAATGACAGCATCGACTGGGTTTTTCCCTATTGATGTCTCGTGAGTTAGAATAAATGAATCTACTCCTTCTAATAAAGTTGCAGAGACATCTTCAGCATCAGATCTACTGGCTTGATCACTCAAGATCATACTTTCAAGTATTTGACTTTAAACAAATACAGGCTTGCCCTCTTATACAGTTCTATCGACCATCCACTTTTGTGCTAGCATTAGTTTCTCAGCTGGAAGCTCTAAAGCTAACTCGACTCTATTAATAATAACTCCATCAGCTGCTTTCACAATTTCTTCAAAGTTATGGAGTGAATCGACAGTGTCTATTTTTGCAAGAATTTAAATGTGGGCTCCATTCGGACCTAATACATCTCGCACTTATTGAATATCTCTTTTTCTTATGGTATATGGAACTGCAACAAAGTCGCAGTTATTTTTAAGAGCAAATGATATAAGGTCACCTTCATCAAGCGGATGTAATATAGGTAAATTATCATGTTTACCTGATGGTAATTTTATATTAGCTCTTGAGCTAAGTATGCCACCTCCTTTTATTTCAATATGGATCCCATTCTAACCAAATTAATTAAACTATCAAAATGCTTACATGCTCACAATCAGTTACTAAACACACGATCTTGCCATCATCCATATAGATCACATCATTAGGCTTTACAAGTTTTGGTAATTCTCTGTAGGTGCATTATATTCTGCTTGGAATGCATTTTTGGAATAGGTTATCGCAGCTAATAAATGCTTGCTGTCCTGGTCTCATTAAGAATCCTTCTTTCCATTTTGTTTCTTCTGAGGCTACTAAGTATTCTGGGGCTTTATCATCTACTTCAGTGGTTCTGATTTCTCTACCTCTAATTTCTAACATCTATGCACAAGTTTTGTGTGGTCTTAAGCGTTTTGCTTCAATGAATTTCTTGTATAATCTAGCATTACTCTGATAATATATTAATTAAGTTTCATTTAATATACCTTCACTGTACCGTGGGAAAAATTAAATCTAGCGCATGCCATTCCTTCATCAAATAATTTGATAATATCTTCTACCTCACTGCTTGAGGGTCTAAAATGAATTATAATAAGAGAGACAATGAATCATACCCGAGTGTACAGATGATCTTTGATTTTCTCTTTGTGTAATCTATCTCTGAAAATACATGCTCTTTTCTAATTTTCTGGTACTCCTCCTCTTCCTCTTCATAAGTAAGTACTGAATCACCGTTTCCGTTTCCATCATCATGATCAGTGTATTAATCATTTACATCTTCGTTATACATTTTTATTTCGCTTTTATTTATTGAAATTACTTTCAATCTTAAAGATTATTATTACCTTATGGGGTTTTGGGGTTTTGGGGTTTTGGGGAGATCGGAAGAGCGTCGTGTAGGG